GAATTGTCATTGACAGGATTCGAACACAATATTTTAGAATTGAAAGTTAATACTCCAACCACTAAACTACTTGTAATTTTCTAATAATAACTTACAAATAAATTATATTTATATACAAATAAATATATATCCAGTGTAAATATATATTTATTTATATATATTTTCCGGAAAGTGTTTTTATTTTTTTTCAGCCAAAAATTTACTTAAGTTAGAGAATTGTCATCGACAGGATTTGAACCCGAGTATTTTAGAGTTGAAAGTTGATACTCCAACCACTAAACTACTGTAATTTTTTGATAATAACTTACAAATAAATTATATTTATATACAAATAAATATATATCCAGTGTAAATATATATTTATTTATATATATTTTCTGGAAAGTGTTTTTATTTTTTTTAGTCAAAAATTCACTTAGGTTAGAGAATTGTCACTGACAGAATTCAATTTTAGAGTTGAAAATTAATACTCCAACCACTAAACTGCTATAATTTTTTTATAATAATTTACAAATAAATTATATTTATATACAAATAAATATATATCCATGTGAAATATATAAATATAAATATATTTATATATTTATATGTTGAATGTGAGGGCACGTTCGAGGGTGAAAGTGAGATTGACTCTCGCGTGAGTAAAAATACGTTAAAACTCACGGAAATTCACTCGCTCAAGCCTCGCTTGAGCGAAAATTAGTATTTTTCGCTTGAGTGAATGATGCGTTTCCCAAATTTTTTTATATCATTATATAAATAAATTATAAATATTATATTCTGTCATTAAATTACAAACCCATATAAAGAGACCCGCTCACAAATTTGGCATCAAATTTTGAAAACCCACTCGACACACACTTTCACCGTCGAACGTACCCTCACATCCAACATATAAATATATAATTATATAAATATATCAAAATATATAAATATATTTGTATTTATATATTTATATATTTATACGGATATATATTTATTTGTATATAAATATAATTTATTTGTAAGTTACTATCAAAAAATTCGAGTAGTTTAATGGTTGGAGTATCAGCCTCCAACACTAAGGTACTGGGTTCGAATCCTGTCAGTGACAAAATTAATTTGATAATGCTCTAAACTTAAAAAATATATGATAAATAATAAAAATATAATATAAAAGAGAGGGGGATTTCTAGATAAATAGAGAGGGGTTGGAAATAAATAAAAATTTTCGATTTGAAAGTCAGGACTTTCAACGTCGGTTCTATTTAACCGACGTTGAAAGTTAGAGACTATCCACGTCGGTTAAATAGAACCGACGTTGAAGGCCTTCCGAACCGACGTGAAAAACCTTATTTGTAGTAGCGGAATGAGGTTAATGTTTTATATCTTTATATTCTATTGAAATTAAAATTGTAGTTGTTTTTGATATCTCAATCACGATAATGCATAAATGTGATTGTTGTTGTTTATTGGATTAAACTTCAAATTATATGTTTAAAAATTTCAAATTAGTCACACCTATTTTATCTCACTTAACTTAAGTGAAGAAGATAGATCTTCTAGATTAGAACAAAAAAGGTAAAATTTTGCAGCTTTTGGAAGAAAAAATTGTTTGACTTATTTACCAAATTGACTTAGTAAAATTATAATTTCCATTTTATTTATGTTGGATCGAGTTCAAATTTTAATAGTAGATTTGCAGCATAAGGTTTTTTATTTTGATTGCTGAGATCGTCAATTAGAGGTACGTAGTTAGAGAAATGTAGCTGGATTTTGAGTTTCTCTTTCTTTATTCTTCAACTTTGAAAACATTATTATTTTAATGTATTAGATATTTGTAGGCATTTGTTTATGCATTTGATTTGACTCTCTTATACTCATATATTTTGATCTTGGAACTTGATTGACTAGCATGTCCCCGTAGGTTTTTACTTCTCATATTAAATAAATTTTCCCACCTTAAAAATATTGGTGTTCGCTTTTATGATTATTCTTGTCATTTCTATTGTTGTTACTCCTCACAAATTCTTACAAATTTAGGGAAATTATTTTTGTTGCATACTTTGGTATTTTTTTTATTGTTATGTTGTTGTTTTTCTAGTAGAGTGACATCAAAACTCATTACAAGAAAAACACTAAATAGTGATCGAAAATTCGGTCACTAAATGATCAAAATCGGTCACTAACAAAAATAGTAACCGAAATAGTGACCAACTGGAATCGGTCACTATTTCCTTTGTGACTATTTTAGTAACCAATTTAGTGACCGATTTAGTTACCGAATTAGTGACCGATTCAGTGACTGATTCAGTGACCGATTTAGTAACTGATTTAGTGACCGAATCGAGTGACCGAATCGATGATCGAATCAGTGACTCGATTCCGTGACCGATTTTATGACCGAATATATGACCAAATCGGTCACTAATTTTATTTTAATTTTTTATATTATTAGTAAAATAAGGATAAACCCGATTAAGGAATATAAAATATTATATATATATATATATATATATATATATATATATATATATATATAATGAAAATTTCACTACCTAAAATAACCATCAAAATAATAGCACTAATTTTGTTCTAAATAAATTCATCACTCATTAATTAAATACTTTCTTACATATTGAAAATTCAATCTAAAAGTAAGTAGAATAAACTAAAATAAGAGTCATAATTCTAGAAATGTTAGAAACTAACAAAACAAATACAATATACAAAATATAATCAGTTCACAATTCAGGAGGTTAAACATCCATCTTCTCCATCAAGAGGAGCAACATTTTATCATTTTTCTGAATTTGTCTCTCATTAGTTAACATTCTTTTACGGAGATCATCCCTTTCAGTCTCAACTTCCTCTAACTTGTGTTTTAATTGTTCAATCTCCTCTCTCATAAGCTGGACAGATGATGAAGTAGAGTCGTGACAAAGATTTCTCCCAATTGCTTTGCTTGACTCAGATCCAAGTCCATATACTTTGCCTTTATTTATTCCAGCAACTTTACACCAAACTTGTAATTCATCAGGTGGAGAGCCTCCTGCAATAGATCCTGATTGGGAGGCTTCTTCCCATGCACGACTAAACTCTGCCTATAAACATTAAAATAGAATAGTTGTGAATTGGATAAAAACATAAAAAAATGATACAATTGGTTAAGAAATTAACATAAGAAAAATAAGAAACTTACATCCACGTGCGCTCATCTTTGATCCACCCATGTGTTATCTTTTCGTTTGTGTTTTGCCAAACAACTCTAATGGGGTAGGGGGTTTTCCATTCAACTTTATCTAAAATATGGTTAAAAACACAAACTTAGAAGTGCAATACCCACCATAAAAGAAAAGAAGTTTGTCAAGTCATGACAATAGGTATACTAGAATAGAACTTAATTATATTTTAAATATAATGAGATTTGTTACAACTCATACTAGAATAGGACTTAATTTGAATCTAAATATATGCTCATAATAATTGTAATTAACACAATTGACCTTTATAAAATTATACAATCTTAATAGGCTAATCTCACTCCTTTAAATTCAATAAAAGAAAAATGAAATAAAATAAAAAGGCATTCATTTAAAATAGGATGATGATTGTTTAACGTTGAGAGGACTAATTGACAATCAAAGTTTTATTTTGGGTGGTTAATTATTGTAAAAAAAAATATTTTTATTGAAAATATTCATAAAATACAGCAACGGTTAATTGTTAATAGAGAAAAATAAAGAAGCAATTAGCTAGGAACTTACCTTGAAGTTGAGAAAATGCAGGTTATTATATGATTAGAATTTGGAGGTGATAGTAAAAATGATAGTTAACTAGAGTTAATGAAATAATTAGGTATTAGGTTTAGGAAATAAGAAGAGTGAAAAATGAATGAAAATAGATTTGAGGGTAGTTTTGTTTAGATGATGCAGTTGAAGATAAAAGAGTAATTGGTGGGAGTGGCCGTTAAGTTTTTTACTCTTTCTTTTCACCATGCAAATTGGTTTTCTTTCTTTCTTTGTTTCTAAATTTTATTCAGCTCTGGCTTCCATCAACCGATATTCAATCATGATGAGCCAATGAAACTAAAACATGAAGAATCATAGCTACTATAAAAATAAATGTTTGAGAAAAAGTAATTCAGAACTGTAGAAGTTATTGGTCAACCTGCTGCAAAAGGTTTGGTGATGATATCACTATGCTAACCAGTTTTGGGGTAAATAGACACATGTTATAACCATCTAAAATAACCTTCACATGTTATATAACCATCATCCTTGTACTGAACAAGGTTCACAACAGGGCACTCAAAAACTCTTCCCCTGAATGTATCCTAAATAAAAGTATAAAGGCTTAGTTTGTATCCAATAATAAGTAGACACAGATGAACCATCATACATCATGTCCAATGATACTAACTATGGGGGAGGGGAATGGTAATAGAAATTCCTTATTTTATACCTTGCAAGCAGTTACGTTAGCTTTTTTGTCTTCCCAGCTATGGACATTTTAAAGCAAATAGTGTCCTAAGTTCAGCTAAAAATGCTCCAGCTAGCAATTCCTACCCATGTAAAACAAAATTCAGATTCAAAAAAGCAGAGTGACAGAAAACAATTAGTACATAAACAAGCAATCTCTAAAAAAAACAAAACACTATATTACAACACACATAAAAAACATTCTCCTATTAATCGTCATTTCATTGAACCAAAGTGAAACTATAAGTGCAAAGCTTGTAATTTCCCCCATAATTACACTACATTTAGAAACCAAAACATTTACAGGACAAAATAACAAAATAAAGAATGAACAAACAAACTCAAGTATGAATAAGTGCATCTTGTTGCAACTTATGAGAATTTGGCATCACAACAACATAGTCTGAATAGGACCCACAATCCTTAATAATAGTCCAAAACGGCCCATAAGAAAAAAAATAACCCCCAACTCAATCCAAATCCCAGACAAAAGCAATCAATAGTCGAGAACGATAAACTCAACAACAGGTTTCCCCACAGATGCTAGCAATCAAACAAAAGTAAAACCACAAACAACAGAATACAAAGAAAATGAACTTTGTACCCAATAATGTCTCTGGTTTCGATTTCCACCTGAGATCCCTGTCAACTCCTCATTCACAGGGAGAGGCATTCGACCATCCCCTTTTCAGTCAATAGTGGTGCGACAAAGCGAGACTGGGATGATTCACGGTGGTCGGCGTGGGGCGAGTCGTGGCCAGGGCTCCGTGGTGGTGTGCGCTACTTCATTGAGGGTGACCGGTGAGTGTTTGGTGCAACTAGGCGTGAATCTGGCTTGCGGTGGCTCACGGTGGTGCTAACGGGTTAAGGGTGGAGACCGTGAGAGTGGAGTTTGCAATGGAGAGGAAGGAAGGGTGGAAATGGCGAAGGCGCGGTAGGGTGATTTGGGGGTTGCGACTCCAGTGAGGGGAGAAACGGGTTTGGTTGGGGTGTCACGGTGGTGGCTAGGGAGAGGTGGCGAAACCGCAGCAACTCAAGGCGCTGGCCATGTCGCGACCAGTTTGATGGTGTAGGGTTAGTGGCGGTGAGGGGTCAGGCACGGTGGCTCGGTGGTGGTGCGACCATAGTGGCCCCGAGCAGCGGTTCACAGTGACTACAGGTGAAGCATAAAAAATAAAGGGAGGAAGATTTGAGTGCTAGCTGGCACCGGTGAAGGCTATGGTGGTGCTGGGTGTGGGCTACAATGGGGATACATGGGTCATGGGTCCTGAGGTGAGGTGCGGGGATCTATGGGTTATGGGTGTTGAGGTAAGGGTGGATGAAGAGTGAGGTGATGGGTGCGATGGGGGTGGCTTCTGCGAAAGGGAGTAATGATGAGGAAAAGTAATGGAGGCGCCGGTTGGAAATGGAGCTAGGGCAAAGATAATGTACACGAATTTCATAGTTTCCTATATTTTATTGTCTTCGAGAATCAAAGAAACTTTTCTCCGCACATAACCATGGCTCTCCAATGTTTTCGTCATAGAACAAGCGAATGTGTAATTAGTCACATAATTTACCACGAGTAATTAGATACATAATTGACCACCAGATGAACCAAGTATAATGGAAGATAAATGCATGTTAAAATTTATGTATCAACCTCATGTCAGACATATGCTATTAATTAAAATTTATTCAAAAACAGTAAAATCATGAGATGAGACTCATTAAACAAGGTGCAATGCCAGAACAATTATGTTCTGTGATTCTCAATAATTTCAAATATACAAAACATTAGCATATTTATAGCATTAACCATAATATAATCTTCATCCGTAAATTGATAAGAAACTAGTATACATATTACATTTTAAGTAATTAATACAAAAATTGATAATTCCTGCATAAGTGTATCCATTTTAACAATTTAAAAAAAAAAACGATAAAACTTAAAATTAATTTCTAACTAAATCTTCACATATTTATGATTAATACTATATTATATTATTATATTTAATTAAATTTTAAAATAAGTTTACTTAATCTTTACCTTTTTATATAAAAATGATTAATATAAACTTAAAATATTTATTCAACTATTAAATTATCCAAGATATTAATATCAATTTAAAATATCAATTTAGTAATTAAAATAATTTTAATTTTTTTATAAATACATTGAAATACATATATATATATATATAAGAGGCTAAATTAATAATTAATTTAATTATTGAATTAATGACCGATTTGGTGACTAATTTAATAATTAATTTTAATTTTTTTATTCACATGCTAAATTAAAAAACAAAACAAAATAATTATATTACTAAATTATTTAATAAGTTACTAAACGATTTTTTAAATTTTTATAATATTATTAAAAATGTTATCAATTATTTTAAATTATTAAGTAGATTTATATTTAATATATTATTAAAATAATTTTAAAAAATATTTATATAAATGAAAAATAATTAGCAACCTAGGTGCTCTAAATTTTGAAGAATAACAAAGAAACCTAAAAATTTGTCATAGTGTGAGATTAATATCTCTAACCATAGATCCAATTGACAATCCCAACGATTAAAATAAAAATTCTTATACGATGAACCTGCTATCAAAATTTTAGTCTAATACAATAGTTAACTAAAAGACAATCGTAATTTTACAGAAGCGATCTGATAAATAAGCGAAACTGTTTCTTTTATTTTATTTTTTTCTTATGTTCTCTCTATTCTGATATAACAAATTTTTCTCCAGTTAGGTTAAATGAGATAAAATAAGTTTAACTAATTTTGAACTTTTTAAAAATAGTTAGTGAGTTAAACCCAACAGAAAAGCGGCTTAAATGGTGATGGATACGTGATAATTAGTTGAAACAGTGCCTATATCTCATTGAAAGTTCAGCTGATTGGTGCAACTAGAAATTCAATCTTTACTGAAATTAGCTTGAGAAATTGATTGGATGGCATTTCCGAGTTTGAATTAGGCAGTGCAAAATTGAATTGTGACCAAATCAGATGCAGTATTCAAGCAACTTAAGCACAGCGCAGTGATAGTTCTGGAGAATTTGATTCAAGCAAGACAAATGGCTAGCACATTCAGGAATTTCAAGTAATTGAAGTACAATTGGTTCGCTCATTAATTCACGTGTTCATATGGCTGCTTGATTCAAGATTTCAAGATTAATTAGCTTGAGGGGTGATGAATTTAGATGAAGCAACAGTTAAAACATCATTCAAGTGTGGTACATGTGTAATCGTGTCTAATCTGGTGTATATAGGTGCTAATCTTGTTGTTTACTCTTATGCATATGGTGTTGGTTTCTGTGTAAATTTTGGTTAGTTTAAAATTTGAGTACACTGGTGTTTATGTTGGTTATATATATGTGAAATTTACTTTTAATGTTTATTACTTATTTACATATTCTACTGAAATCTTGATTATTTTTATTAAAGAGAATAAATGTTAATTAAATTAGGAGTTTTTGTAATTTGGTTAAATTTAACTTGTTATTAATTGATTATTCGAATTAAATATTATTCGATTTTAATTTAATATAATAACAAAACAAAATCAATGTTTTATTATTATTATTATAAAATTATTAAATATTTTTTAAAAAGTTATGAATATGTTATGATTTTTTTTATATAATCTTATCTTGATAATTTTAATTTATTTTATATTTTACAAATACATTAAATAATTATAGAGAAAAACTAAAATACAATTTTATTATCTTATTTTAATAAATATAAATATATTATAAATAAAATATAACTACATCATAAAACAAATTTTAATAAAAATACTCACGTTATCAATTGGTAAATAATTTTTAAATATATAGTATTATATTTAAATGAATAAGAAGTTTAATTTAATTTTGTTCTTAGTTTTTTAATCTGAAATTCAAATAATATTAAGCCGTATATATATATATATATATATATATATATATATATATATATATCCAAAAAATAAAATAAAAAATAGTTTTGATTGTTTTAATTTTTTAATATTTGTCCGTAATTATTTTATATCGGTTGGATTTTGTACATTTCTAATTAGAAAACTGTCTTGAATGCAAATTGACAGGAAAAGAATAAAAAATAGAAAGTAAATTTAATCGAAAAAGGTGAAAATTGTAAGTTAAGAAAAACAGTTTTAAATAGCAAAATCCATATCTTTAATGGCGCTACTTAAGCCTTTAATACTTTTGGAATCAATTGATAACTTTTGATTTACATCCGCATCCGTGGTTTGTTTGCAACAGACCTACCTTTGCCAAATTATCGCTTTTGATTTATAGCCAATTGACAAACAAGAATAAAAATCTGAATTATAAAGCTGTTTCAATAGAGCGAGAAAAAAAAAGTTTCGAAAAAATTTGTTTTAAGTTTTTTATTTATTGACAGGAAACTGTTGTTAAAAATAACTAAAATATATTTTTAAATAAACTGTTGTTAAAAATATGAAACTTGATTTTAATGTATAATTAAAAAACACTATTTTTTTTCTTCGGATTGGAAAACAAACGTTCTTTAATTAAACGAGTAATTAAAGCGCTTTTGGAATAACGCAGAAACTATTATAATCTCCGACACACTCTCACACAAGCCGCATTCATTCATGTTTCAACAGTTTATGACTCACCTTGGCACTCGCACTCAACTCGCCCGAGTCTCGCCCTTAATTCATCGCCCCAAACCGCTTCTCGCAATATCAGTTTCTTGTTCCCAAACCCTCTCTCTCCCCCAATTCTCTACCAAACCCTCCACCCTCGCCCGCCGCCGAACTCACACTCTCTTCCGCCCGGCGATGGACGTGCAACCACCGGAATCCGCCGCCTCGGGCGAGGACTTCGTCCACGTCGCGGATCTGAAGATGGAGAGCCTGACTGAGAGCATGGTTCGAATTGACGAGCCCTCCGACGCCGACGCCGACGCTGCCTCTTCTGCGCCGGAGGCCACGCCGGATTCCGATCGCCATCCGGCCACGCTTCCAGAGGAGCTCTCCAGAAACGTGCTCGTCCTCTCGTGCGAGTCTGCCGCCGAAAGCGGCGTCTGCGACGTTTACTTGGTTGGAACCGCTCACGTCTCCGAGGTATTTTTTTCTGGTCATTAGGAATCAGGTTTTAGGTTTCGCTACGCTACACATTGTCATTGTGTTCAGCGAGAACGAATAATTAGGGTTAATTTTATTTGATTTGATTCTGTATTTTTTTCAATAGAAACTGTTATTATGTCATTTTCTAAGAGGATGAATGACGGTGTATTTACTTCATCGTGTCAATTATAGTTGCTGTAATAATAAGTACGGTAGGTGAATTGCTGAGAGCTTAAATTTTGTTGCAGGAATCAAGCAGAGAAGTTCAAGCTATAGTGAATTTTCTGAAACCGCAGGTTTTGTTTCCATTCTGAACTGACCAATACTTGGCTGATGTATTGATCAGCCACTCGCTTAATTGCTTGCTCTTCGGTGTCATGGTGTCCCTCCATAATTTTTTGATTTCTAGTGTTGAAACCCTTTGGCTGGCCTGTTGTTTGTTGCAGGTTGTCTTCCTAGAATTGTGCTCGAGTCGTGTTGCAGTGCTTACCCTTCAAAATCTCAAGGTTTCTACCCTTTAACTTGTTTTTAAATTATCGTATCATTTCATTTGTTGTTTAGGCCGTTTATTGTTGAAAAGTATTGGTTAGAAAGTGGCTCTAATTGGTACGCCTAGTCTACCAACTTTGACCTCATTTGTTAGTTGCTGCAATTGTAATTTCAAAGGTTTTGTGGCTTAATCCCAACGTGGTAGGGTTGAGTGAGACACTAAGTCCAATATCTAAGAGTGTCCGCCTTCCCTCCTTTGTACTGCCATGTCCTAATTTGTAATTTGTGTGCATAAGTTGCAAAGTGTGGGGAAATATTTTAATCTTCCAATATGTAGGTAGTACTAGCATTGTTTAGTTCCATATTAGATGATGGATGTTTTAAACGATAAGGTATCAGATGGCTTAATAACTGTATGGCCTACTTGGTGTTCACTGAAGGGCGAAACACACACAGAGCTCCTTTTTCTTTGATGATTAAAACGTTTTAGTTTTCAACTTATGAACAGTTTAGTTTATTTTTCCTTTTGCTTAAAGGAGAAAGCAATGATCTCTTTAAAGTAATGGAAGGATAATTATAATTATTGTTGTTTAATTTTCCACATCTTATTCGGTCTTAGTATCAACTAACTTCCTTAATTCCATCATTAATCTGGTTCTCATTTAGTTGTCTGTCTGTATGTTTATCTTTTTACTTCTTCCAGGTACCCACTGTGGGAGAAATGGTTACAATGTTGAAGAAAAAACATAACATGTTTGAAGTGCTTTATGGCTGGTTCCTTGCCAAGGCAGGTTTCTATGTTTGAGAATAATATGTATCATTCTTAATAGGTTTTCAATTATCACCCTTTGATTATCCAATAATGATATTTTCTCATGTATCCTACACACCTTAAATTTCTGACAGATTGCTAGTAAGCTTGAGGTCTTTCCTGGCTCTGAGTTTCGTGTGGCATATGAAGAAGCCATCAAGTATGGTGGCAGAGTGATTCTTGGTGACCGCCCTGTACAGGTTGGATGAGTTTTTCATTTTAAAGTATGTTGAATGTTGAGTAATTTCTACTCACTGTTGATGTAAAATATTTATCTGAATTATAAAACAGTCATGTATTTGAATGTGTTATTCCCAGAATAGTATTCATTACATTAGGCCATTGTGTAGAAGAAAGAATATTTTTTTAAACTTTTCTCTAGAAGTTAAATTGATAGTATTGCATGTATATTGTAATGTATTATTCATTAGAATGTCTTGGACTCTTGGTGTTCTTGAGAATAAATTCATGCTGCATAATCACTAGAAAGCCTTGTAGTATATTCTGTGACTGGAAAGTAACTATATATTCTTTTTTTTCTCCAAACAGCGGGATTCTGCATGTTATGAGAAGTTCCGTATCTCATTTTGCTATCATATTTGTAAATTAGAATACACTTCTTAAAAAAAATAAAAATAAAAGTAGTAAAGATGCTGTTAGTGACTAGAACTCATAGCCACTATGTAACACAACTGCATTCTCAAAGCTTACCCTCTAACTCGTCTATTCTATGCAAGAAAAAACTTAATGTTTTTCTGGAGTCCTGCAGCTATTAAAAATATTTGCTGGAAAAGGTTTAATGGTTATTAATTACTCTTTTATGTTTTCTTCATATGTATGGTAGAAATATCGGGATGTTCTAAAGGTAGATTAAACTAATGTTCAACATTTACTATTTTGTTATGTGAGCTTTCAACTAGGTTTAATAGGCATGACGAGCCTTTTTTGTTATGTATTGATGGGTTCTGATTTTGATCGAGACAGATTACATTAAGGAGAACATGGAGTAGGATGCCACTTTGGCATAAAACGAAATTGTTGTACTCTTTACTTTTCCAGGCAGTTTTTCTACCCAGCTCTGATGATCTTAACAATATGGTAAATTTCATAATCCTCATGTACTAGTGTTTGTGCTAAGTAGTTTTTGTCTATATCCTAACTTGGGTTTGTTTTCTTCAGCTGAAGGAAATGGATGACAGTGACATGCTAACTCTGGTTATACAGGAAATGAGTAAGGAGTTTCCAACTTTAATGGAGACTCTTTTGCACGAACGAGATCAGTAAGTCCTATTAATATCAATTTATAGTTTCATTTATTGCTTCTATTACCTGTCACCTGCTTCCCTTGCTCTTTAGATAATGCTTCAGTTAGCACTAGTCACCCCAGTATGTTACCATTTAGCAGAGGGGTCCTTGTCGGAGGGTGACATAGATATGGTTCTGTTATTGACATATTCTGCATATTCTAGTCTTCCTGATGGTCTGAAATTCAAATACCATGGAGGCATGGACTTTTTACCGAGTGCCTTTTTTGTTTCAGAGCGTAGGATATGGAAAACTTGTTAATAGATCCTATTTTGGACATTTATTTTTTCGGGGGATATATTATCCCATGCATTAGATGAAAATTAGAAAACAAAATGTGTAATATTTTATATTTTGCAGATTTTTTAGAGAGGAGGAGGCCATGCATTAATTTTACGTTATTTGACTTATATTGCGTCCATCCAGGTATATGTCCTCCACATTACTGAAAGTGGCGAGTGAAAATAGCTCAGTTGTTGCTGTTGTTGGAAAGGGTCATCTACAGGGAATAAAGAAGTATTGGAAGCAACCTGTCGTGGTGGGTGAATATTTAGTTATTTGTATGATATAATCTGCAATTTAGAAGTATTTGTCTCACAAAAAAGCATAACCGATTCATATGAACCGGATTTGTTTTCCGTATTTTGAATATTTTTCTTTCCAAAATCATACAATTATGCCGTTATTATTCATTGTCGGATGTTCTTATTTCAATTCACCTCGTTGTTGTTTCAGATGAATGATCTCATGACAGTTCCATCTCCTAAGCCAGCTATATCTGCAATAAAAATCTTTACATCTGTTGGTGTTGCCGTGGCAGGAGTGGCCATTATATCGGGCATCTATCTTTCATGTAAGAAATAACTTTCCTGTCATCCACACCAACGTTGATGTAGGAATCGAAATGTGTTAACAGTTGAGTCAATCATCAACAAAGTTGATGCATAAGTTATCAACAATTACAATTCTTTTTAATCTTTTCATAGAAATCATGTTAATTATAACTAATAAGTTGCATATCAGTCAAATAGTTCCATTTTAAGGGATTCCCAAGAGGGGTAGAAATTTTCTGATTAGAGTTTCCTTCATACTCTTGTGCGGCTATAATTGTTGAGAATAAAAACAATAATAACCCTAGAAATTAAGAGAAAGGTACGGAATACGCAATAAATGACTAAGATTTTGATCAGCAATCTTAAAGTTTATGTGAAAAAAATATCTATTATTGTAATATAGATTTTAGATACACATTGGTGGTTTAAGTAATGTTTTTCTTAAATAAATTTTTTTATGTTAAATGACTTTCTATTTTCTCTACAATTCTTTATCTCTTCCTTAAGGGGATTAGAAATTGTAAAATCTTATAAAAAGTTGCAATCAATTCATTCCATTTTTTCCTTTTTCGAAGATAAACTGATATTTTTAAATCATAAGTCAGATACATGAGTACCTATCCTATCCATCTGGAAATCATGGTTCAAATCCTTCGATATTGGATATAATGTTATTTTCTTAAGTAATTTTTACAACCTTCTTTTGTCGATGTTTTATATTTGACAGGTTTTTCAAATTGCTTATGAACTGATGTAATGAAGCAAAAGAAAATTTAATTTAGAACCACTAAATTAGAAAAATAAAACTAATTAGCTTTTTGAATAATGGTTTTAGTAAAAAAATTTCATTTTAATAGGTAGGAAAAATTATCTTGTGTTAAATACATTTATACTTGTGAATATTTAAAATAGATAATTATTTTTTAATCTTAGAAAAATGATGTTTTTTAATCTTAAATAAATATTTATTTTTATGATATTTATAATAAGTGATATTTATCTTTCTTGTATTTTAGTAAATTAATATTTTTTTCTTATTTAAAATATTATGTTGACTAAAATTTATTTAAAAATAAAGATTTTTTTACAGGCATAATATTGAATTGTTTAAGTATAACATATTAAGTTTATGAATATTGTTTCTTAGTATATTTTTTCCATGCAAAAAAAATATGAACAATTCAAAAAAAAAGTATAAGTATTAAATAAAATAAATTTATCATTTCGTAATTCAATTTCATCTTAATATAACATCAAAATCTCATGTCATACTAATCCATTAATTATATAATGCATTTTTTATATTGGGCAAAACACCATTTTAATTTGAATTTTGAAATTAATATTTATCATATTTATTAAACATTTTAATCACTTTAATATGATAAGATGATCTTATTATGATATAAATAGTAGCAAATTTTTCATATATTTTCGCTACAGGGGGAGAGTAGCAAGTTTTTACAACAAATAGAAAATGAGATGTAACATAAAAAGTATTAAAAAAATGAAATTTTTATAATTTTTATATTACATCCTCAATCTATATAAATTTTTTAATATACCCTTGTTCAACTACGGATTTTAAAAAATTGAAATTATTTTCTAAATATTATTTAATTTATATATATATATATATATATATATATATATATATACTTTTTTGTTATTTATTTTTCTCTTTTACTATAATTAAATTTAGTATAATATTAAAATAGTATTTATTATTAAAAAAAATTGAAGTAATGTCATGCATTCCACAGGTAAAATACTTATACTAATTAATACTACTAATTTTTAATTGATATGTAATGGTCATATGGCTGTAATTAGGACAATGAATTGTGAAACCAATATTTCTCTAAGTCATTTGTGTTGCTTTTTTCAAGTTTTTAAATTGGATCCTCAATATATTTTATCTACAACATTCAGCTTGAGTTTAAAAACCATTAAATTATAATTTTTTTAGCTGGAGTTTAAAGCTATTAAATAATAATTTTTTTAATTTTACATTTTGTTAATTGTTTAAGAATTTGAATATTTTTAATTTTTATAAGTTATTATTCTTTTGATTCAGGAGATTTTATTTTTAAAATATTTGTGATACAAAAATGAAGTCAGAAAATGTGAAAAATCAAATAAAAGTTCAGAAAAAAAGGGGAAAAGTCTAAAAATATAATAAAAATAATGGCTTCAGTGTGTGTAACAATCAGATCATTGATAGAAATCTCACTGAAATCCGCTAAGATAATTAAATTATCATCATAAGCCAAGACAAGCTAAATTTCAAAATCAAAATCTAAACGTGAAATTTAATTATGTAATTAACAATGAAACAGAAAAAGCTAAATGTCAAATCAAAATCTAAAAGTAAAATTTAGTTATGTAATTAACAATGAAACATTTTCGTATGCTCAGACAGCCAAGGGTTTCATAATCAACTTCTGAGCAAATTCCCAGATCAGAAACTCTAGTCCACAAAATTGTCTCGTCACAGCACACATAGTATTACAAAAAACAATAAACTACTTAACCATTCGACAAAAACACAATCTACCTATGCATTCTCAGACCCAGATTTGGTTTGTAAAATTTAAACAAGTAACAATGTTGGTGGCGTTTCCAAGACCAAATGGTATGATGATGAAACCATCAATCAGGATAACCACATCGTGAATATGGCGTCCGAGCCATTATACCAGGAGGAACCATATATCCCCCGGAATTGGTAATGGACGCAATCACAACATATACACTTTCCTTATACAAAATAGTAAGCATTCGTTCATATTATGTTCCTAATGTTCTATGCAAATGAAAACGATTTCTCATTAGAGTGCTCAGTGGAAGGAGAAGTCGTTAAAATTGTAGGCTCACGGCGAAACCTTGCGGTAACGTCCACTGCCCAAAACACCTAAGTGTTTCATCTCATCATAGCACTCATAACATACAAATTAGTATCTCACTACCTCAGTGATAACAAAACAATAAAATTGAGGTTGCAACTATTACACATCAAAAAAACAAATACATCGAATCAGAACTACAAGAATTGATAGATGGACTAAAAAATAAACAAAAGGCTTCTGTGTGTGTAACAATCAGATCATTGATAGAGATCTCACTGAAATCCGCTAAGATAATTATATTATCATCATAAGCCCAATTGCTTCTCAAGCCATTTTCCCATGATAGGAATGAAACTAACGTTGATGTTTAAACAAAAGTGAAAGACAAGACATACTTTAGTGAATGAAAATTGTTCAAAAAATTACTAACTTACGAAATTTTGGGAAATTTAGGTGTGCTCAGACAGCCAAGGGTTTAATAATCAATTTCTGGGTAATACCCAGATCAGAAACTCTAGTCCACATAATTGTCTCGTCACAGCACAAATAAAACCTAAAATGTTAACTTCAAACACGAAGAAATAAGCAAGAATCACTTAACATCAAAATGCAGAAATTGAATATCACGTAAGGGCAACCTTCAGGTCCAGGTGCGAGAACATGATGAACTTGAAACGGCTATTGGATTGCCCAAATGAGCGACGAAGAAGATGAAGAAGATTAGGCAATAGGTTCGATTATATAGGCAGAGAAGAAAGGAGCTGTGAAACATTAAATTAGGGTTTACGGATATTGGGCTGAATAAAGACGCAATAAATTCGGAACGGGCTGGAACTTACAGCCCAAATCCATACTCAACAAATCCCTAATTTGTGGTAAAATAAAATAAAATAAAATTAGGGCCTTTTTATCTCAAGTTCTAACAAAAATCTGCTTAATATTTAATCTCGTAACTTTTTTTTTTTTAAAAAAAGGTATGCTAATATTTTAAATTCTATTAACCATTCAATAATTATTATAGTCTTTCCTCACATATTTTAACTATATTTTATGTTATGCAACATTTTTTCACACATTAAAATTTTTAATAAATATATATTTTAAACATAAAAAGGTCTATGTTTTATATTTTTAATAAAGTAAATTAAAGAAATATGAAATTTCAAAAGGTTTGACTGATTTTGATCAGTTAAATAATTATAGAATGGTTGATTGGATTTTGAGAAAAAAAAATCAATGCATAGCCAGCCACCCATAAAATTAAATGAACAAATTTTATCGGATATTTTAATTTTTTTTAATGGGTGAATTTATTTGTGGAACGATGGATTTTTTAACAGATAAATATATTACTTTTACTACACTTTTTATACGAATATTGAAGCTTAGTTTAATAATATTACATGTACCCCCACTAATCCTAATTGGGTCTTATAAATAGATTTTTATGTGTTTTTCGGATATGTAATTGAATAAGGAGTTATACACATAAAAGTATTTGACTAGAAAATTTGATATGTATTTTCAAAATTTATTAATAATATTGGTTTTATATAATATAAAATCTATATTTTTTAATAAAAATTTTGATTATATATAATATTAATATTAAAAATATTGAAACATAATAAGTGTCATTTACTATTTCGTCCAGACCCATAAAATTTCAGCACCCATACTAAGAATAAACTCTAGATCCTGCAATTTGGAGGGAAATTTGCAAAGGTTATAATACTCTTGTCACCCCACTGTAAAAATTTGCCACGTGCACACTTAAAATAGCTTGTGACAGGCATGGCAAAAACGGTCCCTGGTAACCCACCGCAATATTGCCTGATAGATTGGTATTTTTGATTTGTTGGTCCTTTCTAGCCTTTCTAGCCTGCCGTGCCAAATCCATCAATTCTTCGGACCAATTGTGGGATGGTGTACTGCAAAATTAATAAAAGAATAAATTTTTTATTATAATACACTTAATTTAAAAATTATAAAAAGAAAATTAAAAAATTTTCACTCTCACTATTTATATAAGATATATGCTTTTTACTCAAACACAAGTTGTTCTCTTCTTCTTGATACTCATTATCTTCCCTTGTTCATCTTAAACACAATTATTTTATCCTTATGACTTGAACTAAAAATATAAAAATTACTTAAGGTAAGAATAATGTGAAATTTTATCAAATAAAAAAGATATAATTATTTAAATTTTTTAATATAAAAAATATAAATTTTACAAGTTTTGATATTATTTATATATTATTTA